TGTGTGTGTGTGTCAAGTAGCCATGGGACTGTGTGTGTGTGTGTCAAGTAGCCATGGGTGTGTGTGTGTGCCAAGTGGCCATGGGATTGTGTGTGTGTGTCAAGTAGCCATGGGTGTGTGTGTGTCAAGTAGCTATGTGTGTGTGTGTCAAGTAGCCATGGGTGTGTGTGTGTGTCAAGTCGCCATGGGATTGTGTGTGTGTGTCAAGTGGCCATGGGATTTTGTGTGTGTGTCAAGTAGCCATGTGTGTGTGTGTCAAGTCGCCATGGGATTGTGTGTGTGTGTCAAGTCGCCATGGGATTGTGTGTGTGTGTGTCAAGTAGCCATGGGTGTGTGTGTGTGCGTAAAGTAGCCATGGGAGTGTGTGTGTGCGTAAAGTAGCCATGGGAGTGTGTGTGTATGTAAAGTAGCCATGAGATTGTGTGTATGAAGTAGCCAAGCTGTGGTGCTTGACAGACACCCAAAGAAGGTCACTGAACGGGTTCAGCGCCACGACTTCCATGTTTTAGCAGCAGCAGTGTCGCAATGCTCCTCCGGGATTCATGTTGGTACGTCCCCGTGGATTTTTTTTTCCATCCGGTTTTGTCCCTCCACATTTTAGAAACGTGCATTGAGATTATTTGGATTATTTTGCTGCTATAAAAGGTCCACATGATAAGCCACTTTGTTGAGCTATCATTTGTGGGCAGGTCGCTTCTGAAAAATAAGTTGATACCTCAGTGGGCTTTGCCAGGTAGGATGGAGATGGTTTAGTGCTGTATTTGTGTGTAGTTTGGGTGATTTGTTTACTTTCTTGTACTTTGCACTACAATCGTGTTTTGTACCGTTTGTTGTAACGTTCTTATCCTACCCATCCTGGACATCTGGGATAAAGAGCTGTATGGCTCATCAGGATTCCTCCAGTATAAATAAATATTCTGATTACGATAGGACTGTTTCGCAGGAATATAGGGTACAATCGTACAGCACAGCGTCATCAGGGACAGACAGTGCCTTGTACTCTACCCTGAGCCGGGCTCGCAAGATTTTCTCAGGAAATAACGAATGAGAAATTAAGTTCTGGGTGCCCTCTTACTCACTTTCACCTTCGTCAACCTTTATTGTGCTTCTATTTGTAGCTTTTGAGATGTAAGATGGTGCCCCCAACATCAAGCAGTGCTTTGGCTTTGTCGTTGCCATTTACCAACCTTGGTCACCCATGCAGTAGAAAGATTTTGTTTTGAATGGCTTATGACCTGGATACAGGTCACCGACTAGACATTCAGGTTCTGCCCCCCACTGCCCCTAAATCTGGGGCAGCAGCTGCCTTCGCTTTTCCCTCCCGATATTCACACTGCCACGGCATTTCCTTCCGCAGCAAAATTCACGACCGAATCACCCTGGAACGTTCCAGATCTTCTCGCGCTCTCGTAAGCTCAGCAGAGTTGACCCCGGCTAGTATGCGGATGGGAAACTGCCTGCGTACACCGGCCGTTGTAGGCTTGGGGGCTGCAACGAGACCAGGAGATGGCAGCACCAGCGTTGAACTGAATCTGTCTGCGTGGATGCACTGCTTTCTCTGAACATCCTCATTGGCGTTTAGCTCCTGAACACGTTGCCGCGCTCAAGGACAGAATGGAATATCCACCGCCTTGCGAGGACGAGCATCGAGTGTGGAATGGAGGTGTGTCAGTCTGTCATGCTCGCCCGATCCATTGAGTACGCACATTCGCACGAATGAAACCAAGAGCTCGTGACGTTTACCCCGGGTAGGCGAAAGGTAAGGGTGCAGCACTGAAACAGCTTGCGCATACGGTGGCTGGCAGAAGGAGCTCTGGGGGGTCTCTCTCTAGACGGTATTTGGCCTACTCCTCCACGCTGGCCAGACATCTTGAAAGAGGTGGGAATACCCACGTTTTACCCCAACCACACGCGACATGCAGGTCCACTCACCATGGTGTGCCCAATTATACCACTGGGTGGACAGAGGTGTGGGGGGAATTTAAGTTGAACCGGTGACCTCCGGATTGCAAGTCCACTGTGCCACCACCATTACACCGCAGAGTATCCAGTTAAATAAAGGGCATTGCAGTGCATGCCTTAAATTGTAGTACCGCACGATCGTGTCTTTATAGCGGCAAATTAAATAGGACAATTAGGCAGCAGGCGTGAAAGTTTGCACACAAGATACTTCTCAATTGCAGGCTCAACTGCTAAGCTGCGGTCGAGTCTGAATAGTGCTTGGAAGGGCGACCACCTTAAATATAGAGGCTGCGGTGCTACGCAGTAGGCATCAGAGGTTAGCGCAGCAAAAGACACTCTTGAACTGCACTTCCATGTTCCCGCATTTACGCTTGCTGGTGAAGTACGGTCAAATAACCACCTCACGACCCGCGAAATCGTGGAGAGGCCCCCGTCCAGCGCCGGATCGACAGAAATGTCTGCGCACGTGGTTACACATGTCATCGGGGCGGCAACTTAAGGAAATACTCCCCAGAAGCAGCCTCAACCCGCAAACTCCCTCCACGATAACCACACAAAGCGAGCAGTTATGGACAGGATGCTAAATTATAAAGGAGAGGGCCTTTCACAGAGCCATCTGGACTGAACGCTACTGTATTGTTCCAAAACACCGACTCGGACTCCTTTAGCCAGAGGGCTTTCGCAGGACCAGCCAGGCTTTGAAACTGAAGACAGACAGATGATGATGCCAATGTTCACAACTGACTTGCCACTATAACGGCGATGCTGCCATGAGCCACACGATATAAGGGCCACGGACAATCGTCATCAATTGCTTCGCGCAAAATATAATTGTTGGTATTTTTTTAACATAAATTATTTACCGGCTAGATTTTTAGGCTATCAATAAATTGCTTGTTGTCGGAGAAATTAATGCTTTGGAAGATAACTTTCAGAGTCATTTATGCGATTTACAATAATTTTCTTAGTCGGTTGAGCAATAACTTTAGGCAACTGAGAGTATGTACGTTTTATGAGCATTACGCATCGTAATGATTTGAAAGGCCTGTTACGGCAGGCATAAGCTGAGTTACTTGCAGGTGAGGATCAATTGATACTTACTCGAACTTGAGGTACAACTAAGCACGAAAACAACATTAGACCGTCAAATACAAAGTATATGGTCAACCTATATCACGATAAACGTCACGTCATAAAAAAATTCAAAATCGTGTTACATCAAGATGCTGTACTTTATATCGCGGCAATACCCTCAATCTATAACCACGTGGATACCAGGAGTTTCTGCTGCAAGGGAGATCTGCCGTCACCTGCACACTTCACTGTTTCACGAATAGCTTACGGCCCGAGGCCCACAATTCAATATTTATCCCTCACTGCGAGCTGCACCAATCGGGTACTGGATGGGGAATATGTTGTTTAAATTGCCTAAATGCCTAACTTTAGCGCGCTCATTAAAAGGTGAGCCCTAATTAATTCTATGTTGTTGTTTGATAAGGCTGCGGTGTGGGCGATTGCTCACCAACGCTATAGGTTAAGAGTCTTATTCGGACCACAGTAATCCCCTGCATTAAAACAGAGACACGTTTAATTTGTGGGTTTAACCTGTCAAAGCAATTCCATTCACTCTCCCTTGACATGGACCAACCAGCCAGTGATGATCAAATGACATACCCAGGACCCTTCTTTTATCTTACTGAGTTTATTTGCATTGAACCTTGCCATTCGTTGTACTGTACTGTGGTGTTTGTAAAGTCATCCAGTTTGATGGCACATTAGATATACAGCACAGTTGCTGAGCACGATGGGGCCTGCAATCTATTCGCGATGAGTTTCGGATTTTCAGATTTTCACGGCAAGTTTGGATATTTTCCTTGGATTTCCACACGAGTGCAGTACCTACAGGACAATGTGCAGTCAGTCCCGTGCATTGCTGGGGCTGAATCGAGGCATTCATCCAGCACAAATTGCTGGATGTTATGCCCTCCCATGCCTTTCAGTCACAAAGAGTTTTCTGACCATACTTCACCACCGGTTTGGATATCACTCGACACTGCTGTTAGCCATGGCTAGGAATCAAACTCCGGCTGCCGGGTTCACCGTGTTGAGCACAAACTTCCACGGTCCTCCGATTAACACGGTTGGCTACGTACGGTGCGAAAGAAGTTAAAGTTCAACACCACTGCTCGCTTTTAGTTGTACAAAAGGCAAGTTGCATTTCATTTCCTAGGTTCACTCAGCCCATCATCCCCGTGGGGTGAATACAATTTGTGCATTGTGGAAAGGGAGTCAGTATCCTAGGCATGGGCTGCGACGTAGCCAGATGATGGTAGTAACAGCAGTGGATCGAATCTAACACGAGTGTGGCTTGCATACATCCGTTACCTATGCATACACTTCCATTGAAAACTAAAATAAACATGTTACTTACCTTGCTGATGCACTCAACTTTTGAGTGAAATAACCAACAAAAATATAAGGTCATTATCGTGCAAGAATCATCATTATTAGGGCAAAATGCCGTCTGTTAGAGGTTTACTAGAGCGCCTCCTAGCGGAGTCCATTCCTGCAGCAGTGGCGTGGACCACGGCACTTGCAGGGCTGCGCCTTCAACTTCCATCGCGCAACGCAGCAAGCAACGGTCCCAACCCCCCGCCAATGCAACTCCATTCATTCCCAAACATTCGCTCCACCACCACCACCGACAACGGGCACAACAACAACAACCACCACCACCGACAACGGGCACAACAACAGCAACAACCACCGACAACGGACACAACAACAACCACCACCAACACCACCGACAACGGGCACAACAACCACCACCACCGACAACGGGCACAACAACAACCACCACCACCGACAACAGACACAACAACAACAACCACCACCACCGACAACGAGCACAACAACCACCACCGACAACGAGCACAACAACAACCACCACCGACAACGGGCACAACAACAACAACCACCACCACCACCGACAACGGGCACAACAACAGCAACAACCACCACCCACCACCAAACCTCACCTATGGACACCAGCCTGATGCTCTGCCTCTCCAGGAACTCGAGGGCCACGGACACGTTCTCCAGCTGCATCTGCCGGAATGTGGGCCGCGCGTGGTACTTGCGGTACATCTTCTTCTGGCTGAGCACCTCGAGCAGAGCGATGAGCCGCAAGCCGTCGGACAAGTCCTTCTGCAGGTCGTGAATCCTCTTGTTCACGCACTTGAGGTGCTCATTACACCAGCGCGTGAACGTGTTCTGCTGGATCTTCTTCCAGGGCGCGTCTTCCGCCAGGTCCTTCTCCGTGGCAGGCATCTCCGCCTGCTGCTGCTGCTGTTGTTGCTGCTGCTGGGATGGAGGAGGAGGCTCGGACTGCTGAGGTTGCTTCCGTCCGCTCATGATGCGGGTTAAATAGCGGCGGGGCTACGAGACGGGGGAGGAGGAGGATGCGGAGGAGGAGGAGGGGCTCCTGCAGCAGCAGCAGCAGCGTCTGTCGGGGTGGGGAGGGTTTTTTTCGCCCCCAAACTTTCTTGGGGTCCACGACTCTACTCTGTGAATAGGACAACAACGCACACACACACAAAGCAATCGTTTTAAAGTGCTCGACACGACTTGTGTTTGAGAGTTCACGCGTGACGCGTCTCCTCCGACGTGTTTCTTACCTTTGTTGCGTGTGCGCGTGGCTCGCTAACAGCACTTGCCCCGACGGTCTGTTAAAGTCTATACGGGGGATCTTTGTATTTGCCTTTGGTGTAAATTGGTTAGTTCCATACCTGAGCACGTCGAACATAAAGTGACGATTATAATGGAACCAGTCCTGGGCTTCCCCTAGGTTGACTCGGCCTTAATTCGGTAACCCATGTGCAGTGTAGTTAGCCTGGTGGTCACCACGTGGCTAGCTACACCATTCACGTGGTAACTAGTGTAGTTAGCCTGGTGGTCACGTGGTAACTCGTGTAGTTAGCCTGGTGGTCACCACGTGGTAACTACACCAGTCACGTGGTAAATGGTGTAGCTTGTCACGTGGTCACCACGTGGTAACTACACCAGTCACGTGGTAACTGGTGTAGTTAGCCTGGTGGTCACCCATCTTAGGTTGTTATTCTGTTAAGGGGGAAGTTACCCCGTGTGTTGGAACTGAATAAATGTGTTGCCTTCAAAGTCTACGTCTGCGACTCAGCTGAACCCATTACACGAGTACAGCACTACACCGGTTGTGTGTTGGAGAGTAAATCCACAACATTTGCAATTGTTGTGGCGGGTTTAACGACGCATTTTTATTTACGCGATCAAACCCAAAAACAAAAAAGTCTCTTATGGATATTTTTATTGGTCGCGAAAGCCTACTACGTGTTGATCCTCAACAGACAGTTTGGGGGCAGTGTTGTTAGCGAGCTCCTATTAAAAGAAGTCGGCCGCCTTTGTCTCTCCTGTGCTGCTTTTGTTTGTGTTGTTTTGAAATAATTTAGGGCTGAGTCAACCTAGCGGGGAGGCCCAGCACCATGTTCGGATATTCGTCACGCCGATGTTTGGGCCTCTGATCGGGAATCGAACTCGTGGGAAACACCCCAGGTTCCGTTAACGCTGTGCGATAACCACTGCGCCACCGCTCCCCCAATGGTCTCACGCATACACCGGATTATAAGACGCAGCCCCATGTGTTAATATACCGCGGGATTACGGAATCTCACCCCACCACTACTACATGTAGTCGTAGCTACTACATGTGTAGCTACGGGCCCCGCACTTTCAAGGGCCCCGCGCTAAATGCTTTCAAGCTATTCCGGTTCAGTGATTCTGCACTTGCTCTATTACTATAGTACTATACCGCCTTCAACTTTTATGAACGACCGGGTGTTTAAGGTTAGCGATTTGTCGTATTATCTGTGGCTGTATAGCAAATGCAAAAATAAAATTACTTTACTGTGCAAGTAAAAAAAGTTGTGTTTTAATATGTTCGTGTTTTTTTTATTTAGGGCCCCTTTATAACAGATGCTGCAGGCCCCGCACTAGCTTCATCCGGCACGGCCCCCACGCCTATCGGTCGCGGTGGGGGGGGACTGTTTGACCATACTTCACCACGTGGGTCATCTCTTATGCTGCACTGCCATCTGCTGCCTATGTGGTGGTGCAGGTCACCCATCCCACAAGCGTCAAACACTACGAAGCATCAGGCACATTCGTCGCGGCTGATTGCTCCATTTGGCTTGAGCCATGGCCCTTTGTCAATCCACTGCTGGATGACTGCCTCCACCCACCCACCCACGCCTCGTCAAGTCGTCGTGTCTGTTGACCATACTTCACCCACGCTCGTCGGCGCGAATTGGTGAGAGGGCGGGACATTGGTGGGAGCCTCGGGGACAGGTCCAGATATTTATATTTAAACTAAATTATGTTTTCTTGGTTCATTCGGTAAAGTCACGTAGAATGGAAATAATAAAATAATACAAATAAAACAATACAATTATTCTCACGACGTTTCGGCCACAACGAGAAGACAGAGTCATTTAGACTCTGTCTTCTCGACAGACCTGTTCTCCCCCAGGGGTGTGTCATTCAGACTCTGTCTTCTCGACATACCTGTTCTCCACCTGAGGACGGCTGCTTGCGTTGTGGCCGAAACGTCGTGAGAATTATTTTATTATGTTTTATTAATTTTATTTTATTATTTTCATTCTACGAAAGAACCAAGAAGATGAATCCCTGCAGTCACGAAAGCTTTAAATCGAAATTTAAATTATGTTTGTTTTATTTGACCAGGTAAGGCCCACTGAGCTGCCTGGCCACAGGTGATGAGCGCGGCGAAGTGGCTTATCGTGTGAACATTTATCGCAACGGTGTCCACTGATGTTAGCCGTGAATCGTGGTAACGTAATTTGGGCATGGCTGGATTCAGTGCGATGTAATGCGCTCACCACTGCACCACCGCTCCTCTGTATCAGCACTGTGGCTCAAAAGGGCCAATTAATGAGCCTAATTGGCTATTATCCTACATTGGTGTGGTGAGCGAACAGTTTGTTGCCATAATTCGTAGCCCCTGAGGCTGGGGACCGGTGTAGATGGATTTGTCACGTGTGTCTTTGATCAGAAGTGTAATGAGTAATCCAAAGGTCGGATGAATAATCGATTATTTTCGATTGGTACAAGCTGTATGGTCACATGAGCTCTGTGGCCACTAGAGGGCGCTATATTCACAAGCATTTTGAAAATAAAAGAATCGAAAAAAAGTATCGATGTTGGGAAGTGGCCATAAGATCGTTGACAGTTCATCGATTCGCGATCGGGTTATCTCGCGGCATGCGGGCTGCGAACCGACTTCTATACACAATTCACGAATTTGATTTTAATTAACCCATGCGGCTTTGCGGTCGGACGTGGTACACCATTGCGTGTGTGCTGTGTGTATGCACTTGTGTGTATGCACTGTGTGTGTGCTGTGTGTGTGTGCTGTGTGTATGCACTGTGTGTGTGCTGTGTGTATGCACTGTGTGTGTGCTGTGTGTATGTACTGTGTGTATGCACTGTGTGTGTACTGTGTGTGTACTGTGTGTATGTACTGTGTGTATATACTGTGTGTGTGTGTACTGTGTGTATGTTGGGAGGGTGGGGAGGGGCTGGGTGGGGAGGGTGGCGCTGGGTGGGGGGTGGGAGGAGTGGGGCTGGGTGGGGAGGGGCTGGTCACCCCGTGGTGCCCTTATAAAACTCAACGTTTAACATACTCACGCCGGCTTGTGCCCGGCCTCACAGTCGGGCATTTTTGCGGAATACACCACGTCGCTGTTGACCCTGGCCATTGACCGAGCAACCCAACGTTCCTACCAGCTCCCTCCGCAGGAATGTGTTTTGATTACAGCCTCGGGTTGCCGCGATATGGCGATAAAGTACCACGATATATCGTACCACTGGTTTAAGGGCCACGATTATCGTCTCTCCCGTTTCGCACGCGATTATCGTTGCTCAGTGGACATATTTTATTTCCAGATAATATGAAATAAGCTTAATTATGAACATTTTAAACGTGGTTATTAGTGCTTTGAAAAAAAAATTGCCTGATACGTTTACAGAATCGTGGTTACAGTTCGTAAGTTTCGTATACACATGTAATAGATTTATATACCTCGTATTTGTTGTGTAGCTGACAGCATGTGCGTTACAAGCGTTACAGTTTGTAAAATTGTACAGATTAAGAGAAGACGTTAACAGCAAGGCTTAGGTTGAGTGAACTGCAGCTGAATAACTTTTAAAGTCATCTTTATTCCTCATGAAAAAAAAGTAAAAAAAAACAGTAAACATGAAATTACATTTCAAATGTATGGAAAACCCATATCGCGATAATGGCCATATCGCGACACCTGCTATCGTATGGCATCGTGAAAATGTATATATCTCGCGTTAGCCTTCACCAACATTAGCCAACGCATTGTTTGAACAGCAGCGTGGCCGGTGAAGAGTGCACAAACACGAGACGAGTTGACCATGGCCATATCCAACATCGGGTGGAAAGTGGTGTCCGAACCGGTTTGGGTCGACTCAGCCTTAAATTAATTACCTTGTGCGGTGTGTGTGTGTGTGCCGGATTAAGCTAGTGCGGGGCCTGTAGCATTTGTTCTAAAGGGGCCCTAAATAAATAAATAAACACGTAAATATTAAAACACATAAATGTTTTACTCGCATAGCAAAGTAATTGTATTTTTTATTTGCTATACAGCCAGATAATACGACAAATAAAAGTTGAAGGCTGTATAGTACTATAGTAATAGAGCTAGTGCAGAATCACTGAACTGGAATTGATAGCTTGAAATCATTTAGCGCGGGGCCCTTGAAAGTGCGGGGCCCGTAGCTACTACATCTGTAGCTACTACATGTGTAGCTGCTACATGTGTAGCTGCTACATGTGTAGCTACTACATGTGTAGCTACTTTTGCTACTAGGATCAGCCGGCACTGGCGGTGTGTGTGACCATCAGCACTGTGCAGACGCTGTTGACGGGTACACGGTGTTGTTGGCCACGCATCTCGCTCGCGTGTGCCGTGGCGGCCTTCACAGGTGCTCGTTAAACGGCACTTCACCTGCATGGCCTACACGATCCACGTGGCCGCGCGTGAGATATTTGTGTGTACACGTGCAGATGGCCTGGCTTCAGGGCGGCAAGTCTCGAGTGCGTCTCCATCAGCGATGGGGGCTTTATTGAGTGGGAAGGTATTCGTGGCATGTGAGTACTGAATGTTCTGACAAGACATGCCCTTCCTGTCTCCTGCTTGGATGATGAACACATTCACAATGTCGTCATGAAGCACGTGGAGTTATACAGCTCGCGGACAAGTCTAATTCGCAATTGGACCTATTCACCCGCAGTGTTATACAGAACTGTGTTTAATGTAAGTGGTGGCTCTGTGACTGCTCTACGTATGAACCCGCTCAAGGCGTGCGTGATGAATGACGAGTGATATCTGAACCGGTCCCGGATCCCCTGATCCTTTGATCAACCCGCACTGACCACAAAGGTGAAGTATTGTCAAATAACCCCCATGACCAACACAGCGTCTGAAG